AGTTTAGACTATAGCTCATTTGGGCGTCTAGAGTCTAGACTTTAGACCCTACAACTTCTTTTGGGCGTATAGACTCCACTGCTGACTACCCACGAGCGTTAGATAGCTCTTACTCCAATGTAACGGCCTGAGTAATTGGAATAAGGTTGGGAAGTGCCAGTTAGTAGAAGCATTACCCGGGAATGTTATTTGCAATGAATTTCAGGCTTCTCTGTTAGCTGGTGCCCCAGGGTTGTTGCGAGTTTCTCAATATAATCCCCATGTAACCCCTAAGATGGACCCCCCAAACCCACCTATAATTCCCATAGCCATATATCCCTAGGGCCCATCAAGGCCTCCTATCTTTGGAACCCCCACATCCTAATTTCAAGTATAACCCAGGATCCTGAATGTAAGGATCCTTGGGAGAGCCAGAATTTTGAGAACACAACTGAACACTTGGGGGTTTCTGCAAGTAAAGGTTACCATTTTATGGGTCCCCATACTAAGGATCATGGTATGTGGAGAGATCCCCCTGTAGTTGATGGAAATTGTCACAATCCCCCGTCATCAAATATGTACGGGCATCGTGCGAGCTGATGCTGGCCATGTTCTGTTGCCTCGAAAGAACCCAACTTGCATACCAAAACTGCAAGGGTGCACTCTAAACACTAAGTGATAACTCTAAACCCATAAACCCCAGACCCCAAACCCTCAACCCCAAATCCTCACCCTCAAAACTCCTAAAACCCTCAACCAACTTGTGGAATGCACGCAACAGAGCCGAAACCGCGTAGCCCTTTGCCTTGCGGCAGCCCTGCCAACTTCAGCAGGTTATATTGGTATAATGGAAAAAGAAAATGGAAACTACTATTTAGGGTCTAGCGTTTACCTAGACCCCCCAAGTACACTCTATAGACACTAGGTATCCCAAATAGAAGCTACATAGACCCTATTTTAGGGTACTTAAAAGGTCTAGGTCGGGTTTTAGGGTTTAGGGTTTAGGGGTTTAGCATATCATATTCTAAGAGATTTCTCGAGCTTCTAGAAGTGATAAAGCACCCCAGCCACCCAAGAATGCCAATCCCACACCCAAGCACAGAAGGACAATTTCAAGCCACACCTGAAAACTCTAAACATCTCCAACCCCTAATTCTCCTTCCTCCCACTTGGCGGTTCAGGGTAGTTGTACCCCATTTACGGTTGTACTTATAACCCAGTCATAACTCAGGGGGTTTATACTTGGGTTACACGTACAATTCCCTAAGCCCTTAACCCTTAAAAGATAATTCCCCCAAATAAGGGGACCCCAATGTAGACCCCAGAAGACTATAGTCCTCATTATATACAGGGACGCCCAAAAAGGTACCCCTAATTTTGTGAAACCCCCCAAATTCTCTGAAACCTCCAAATGAGCCATAGTCTAAACTCCTAGTATCCCCCTTAATAATCCCTATACTACTCCCCTATATANNTTTAGACTATGGCTCAAATGAGCCAAACCCCCCTTCCAGTCCTCGGGTGAGCTTTGCACACTTTGGCTGTGCTTTGGCGGGGAGCTGATGGGGGTCGGCGACTCCTAAGTTGCTGGGTTTAAGGTTTAGGATTTAAGGTTTAAGGTTCAGGGTTTAGGGTTTCGGGTAGTTTAGGGGAATTTGGGGTTTAGGGTTTAAGGCTTAGGGTTTCGCTGCTAAAAAACTGAACCCAATTTTTCCATGATGGGCTCCCTCTATAGAGATTCTAGAGTTTAATTCAGGGCTACATGAATTACCATGCTGGAGAATCAAGCCGATTCTGAAATGGAAGCAGGGGTTATATAGAGGTAGCTAAACAGGGAGCAGAGGACATAAACTTAGGTTGCCTTGATGTGGACATATAAACATTAAATAGGTTGCCTATGCTATAGAAGCTTCAAATGAACAAGCATGATGCGGATATGAAGTAGGCAAAAGGGTTTCTGCTACATACAAAAAATCAAATCTATATGGTAGTTGCCATGAACCGGCCCCATATGGAACCCGATCAATCACAATCCTTGCAGGGACACGCCTCCAAAAAAGGGACCCGACATTTTTTGGAAGCGAATCCTGCAGCTCAAGCCACCATGCTCACACGGTAGAGACCCCCTCAAAGGGACCCCTATTTTCGGAACACACCCTTTTGCAGCAGGCCATAACCCTATCCATATATGTGTATATAGATAGATATCTATATATACACATATAATTACGTATATGTACTCAGAGACTTAAGAACTGCAACATGTAAACCATATTCCTGAATCCTAAACCTCAAATCCAAAACCCCAAACCCGAAATCCAAAACCCTAAACCCTTAATCCTAAATCCAAAACCCTAAACGCTACACCCTAAATCCTAACCCTAAACCCTAAATCCTAAACCCTAAATCCTAAATCCTTACCAGCAACCTAGACTCGTGGATAGCTGCGAGATGCCCTCCACCATCGGAGACCTCTTCTGGCTACGTGCTCGGAATACATGTGGGGTCTAGTTTAGGGTTTAGGGTTTAGGGTTTAGGATTTAGGGTTTAGGGGGCTTAGAGGGCTCAGGTGGTTTCAGGAGGTTTAGGATTTAGTTTTGGGGGGTTTGGTCTAAAGTCTGACGGTCCTTTAGGGATGTGTTCAAAAGGTTCCTGTAGGTCTACAGGGAGGGTTTAGGGTTTAGGGCGGATATCATGCTCCATAAGCGCCATCAGGAACTTGATAAAAGTGCGATATTCTCAAACTTATGGACCCCTGTTGGGTATAACGAATGCTAATTTCGGGAAACCCTGAACCTTAAACCCCAGACCCTACATACCTACATACCCCTGTATGACAAACCCCTATATCCCCTTTAAAGGACCCCTTATTTGGGGAAGCGTTTAGGGGGAGACATTGTTTTATCATATCCCCCATCGGGCCCCACTACAACAACGAGATACAACAGGCAGAAACATCCCATACCGGGTGGTGGAAGGGTTTAGGATTTAGGGCTTCGGGTTTTCAAGGCACAGCGCCCCTATCCCCCATCGTGTCTGGCACAATAACAGGTAGGCATTTACCACATTAAGATGCTGTAAATCATGTCGCTTTACATGCCTCATTGGGTTCTCAATACAGCGGAAGCTGGATCATCTTTAAGTTTGAGCCAGCCGTGTCAAGGTGCTGACATGCGGGGCTTTTGAGACTTGCTGAGTGTAGTGGGTCGGGCTTATAAACCTCCACCGTGTGGCTCAGCAGTAGGGTTTCAGGGGTGTGTAGCGGCTATGGTTTAGGGTTTAGGGCATAGACTTATAAGGGACCAGGAAATTCAGGCATGACTTGTTCCAATCATGCACATGGCTGACAGATACAGCGATAACTTTCAGCACTTCAAAACTGCTTGGCTGCACAGCAGTGAAAATGTCTGTGAGATGAGACAAGTGGAACGTCGAAACTTCTTTTTTGTCCGGAGGCATGCGCGCTGAACCTCCACAAGTAGCTTCTGACACATTTTCATTGGGTAAAGGGGCTACTTCTGAATTTGCGACATTTGTCTGCCCCCCAAAAAGCCAAGAAAACAAGCCCCTTGGTCCATTTCACGGGCCGTCTACCTTTACGTGCAGACATGCCTCATTCAAAAGCCTATGTTCAACCAAAGGTAAGCACCACTGGCATGAACCTCAGGGTCCCAGAGTTTAGGGTTCTGACTGAAGAACAAGACGTTCCTTTCTGGTACGTGATAGTCTACTAAATTTCTTGCCTCCATGCCAAGAAAGCCATGACAATCTCACAAAGGAACTACATACAGCTTTAGGCAGGGTTGGCTATGGTTTAGGGATTAGGTTTAGAAGCCAGTGGCCAAGGCCCCTTTGCTTTTGAACCATTTGCAGTCTTTTCTGCCAAAAACTCCTGGACGATGACTTAAAGGGAAGAAAACAGAAAAGCTGAAACATGCAGAATCGGTTCCCTCTATCCCCTGCAGTCCATCTACCGAATCCGGAGTATACATACCAAGCCATGACCCCTAAACCCGTGTTTAGTTTGTGGAGATGGCGCTGAGACCACTACACTGTCCCTTCAAGTGGGTTAGAGTTTAGGGTTTACCATCAGCCTACTTGGACCTGAAAAGTAAGCAACACAATGACCCAAAACCCCAGAGGCAACGGAAACACTTGTTCTGCATATTGTTAGGGCTCCGGGAAGAATTAGAACCGTCTAAACCCTGAACCCTATGTCTCGAACCCCAAACACTAAGCCCCAAACCCTAAATCCTACACCATAGACCCCAAGCCCTAAACCTAAACAAGCGTGCACCTACTCGGGGTCCCAATTTCCTTGACCTATCATTTTCGAACGCAAAATGACCAAGGCCACCATATCTGCATTTGAACCTCAATCTCAAGTGTCAATTTCCAAAACCAGGGGACACCAATATAGACCTCAATATACTACAATCCTTACCATAGCTCCGCAGAAATGGTACCCTAATTTTGGGAAACCCTGAACTCTAAACCCTAGATACCCCTAACAACCCCTATGCCCCCCTTTAAGAGACCTCTAATTCTTGGGAAACTCCTAAGGTCTTTGCCGGCCTTGTCATTCTCCCGTGGCTCAGGATAATCCCAAGGCCTCTCATCTCAAGTGTAGGGCCGTTGGGCTTTGAGCCCTGAAAGGGAAAAATGCGCCTAGTATACTGGGATACATGGGGGATTGTCAAAATTATGGTCCCTTTTTGGGTCCCTATTATAATACGGGGCCTAATACGGGGCCTAATTTAGGGGACCCAAAAAGGGACTATAATTGTGACAATCCCCCACCTAGGGTTTAGGCTGTAAGGTTTAGGGTTTAATTGAGGGCCAGACTCTAGGGTTTAATTGGTTGCTGTTACGAAGCCTAGTCAAAATACTTTAAAGGGAAAACCCTATTAATTACTATGTATACCCATTATGCTACCTTAATTTAAGTAAGCTCCTTAACAGCAAGTCAGTTTAGGGGCTAGACATTTTTGGATCTAGGATTTAGGGTGTAGGTATTTCCAGGTGACGCTTTGGCTGCGCTGCGCAGAGACTGCTCGTAAACGGGGAAAAACGGTGTAGCAGTTTAGGAAGGACCCTTGGGGTAGGGCTGTGCGTTTGAAGTTTAGACGTTGAGGGTTAATTACATCTTATGGTTTCAGGTATGTTGCATTACCCTAGGGCTCCAGTTACCTAAATAATGGGAACTGGGTTCTATATACCCTATAGTTACATAGCCCAGTAACCTACTATTTAGGTAACTGGAGCCCTAGGGTTATACAAGACTCTTTGGCCCCGAAAACACCGTCCAAAGCAGGGCTCCAAGGCGCAGACAGGCCTGGTAATCGAGAACCCTGCGCCCGAACAAGGCAAAACAAAAGGCTTTAAGGGTTTACCTAAACACCCAAAAGTATGTAAAATAACAGCCCAAAGGCAAAACAACAGGTTTTAACGGTTTACCTAAACCCCCAAAAGTATGTAAAATAATAGCCCAGAACCACTAAAAGCAGCCCAAAGGGCTATTATTCTACATACTTTTGGGGTTCAGGTAGGGGTTTGCTAAGACGCTGATGTGAAGCCGGGAAGTGAAAGAACGATGCCAGACACAACAAGATAGGACACGGTTTAGGGTTTAGGGTTTAGGGTTTACCTGCAAACAACACACGACGACTTGAGCCATAGTCTAAACTCCTAGTATCCCCCTCAAAATGGAGAAACAAATGGAAAAGAAAATGAACAATGAAATGGAAACTGCTATATATAGGGTTATGTAGTGGATTGTAGGGGCTATTAATCTAAACCCCTAGTATTCCCCTCAATAACCCCTATAATACTCCCTATATAATCCCCTATGTAATCCCTTTTAAGGGGTTTAGCCTGTGGCTCACTTGGGTTTGGGGTTTGGGTTCAGGGGGGACAGGAATCGCGGACAAGTCGCAATTCAAGGAAACACCAAGCTGCAGTTACGAGGATGGCCACCGCCACCACAACCGCACATCGCGGTGGCAGTTGATGGCTTTCGCCATCTCATGAACACTCAAACCCCTACCCAGAGGGCCCAACATACCTTCATTGACAGATATATCTTGAATCGTACTAGGAGCCCCTAGATGATTTGAGGTATACTCTTTAATTGCAGGGTATTGGACTCCCTGCAGAACCCATACAGCCTGCAGTTTTCTACACGACATCCAGGAAAAAGGCCAACAACTCTTGTGGCAGCCAGAGGCTTCAAGCAACCATAACCGTCAAAAAGCAGAACAACCGCAACGCGGTTGGTTGAGGGCTTAAGGGTTCAAGGTTCAGGGTTTGAGTCTTTGGGTTGAGGGTCTATTGGCCTGGGTTTAGGGCTTAGGTTTTAGCGCTTAGGGTGGGAAAATCTACAGCTCCATAGCCAGCAGGCTATATGGGACCCCTAGCAGCATGAAGACGTGCAAGAACAAAAGCTGCACCATCAGGATGTCAGTCCCCCTCAACTCGATTTAGGGTTCAGGGCTAAGGGTTTAGGGAAAGCTCTACTCCTTTGGGGTTTGGGGGGTTTGGAGTTTAGGGTATATCTTAAGCCTGACAAAGCCCGACAGCCAAAACAATAGACTCGTGGACACACAAGTCCCTGGACCCTCAACCTCAAACCCTACACCCTAATCTCCAAACTCTAAACCTTACATCCCACACCCCAATCCCTCAACACATGTGCTCCCAAATCCAAAATCCCAAAACGAACGATGCAAGAGACCTGGGCCCAAACTTACATAGAAGCCTACCTAGGCCAGTGGTCTTTGCATTGCCCTTTTGGGGTGTCCAGGTAACTGTTGGGGCAGGGTAAACCCATTAACCCCCAACCCTCAACCCCAAACCGTTAGCAACCCTTAAACCCTGGCGAGGTATATCCGCAACCCTATATATCCCCGCCTATCTGTATGTATCCTATATATCCCCCATACTTCCTATACATCTCTAAATATCCCCTACATAACCGTCTAACTCAGCCCAGGTGCTCTTTGGGCTCTTCCCAAGGCTCGAGAGCTTCGGCCGCCGGGTCCTGGCCAGGCATACGATGCATGGAGGAAGCGGAAAGAAAATGACAACTGCTCCATTGTTTAAGGTTTCGCGCTTTAGATAAAGGGCGTAGGGTAGCCGTAGTCTGAACTCCTAGTATCCCCCTGAATAACCTCCGTAATAGTCCCCTATCTAATCCCCTTTAAAAAGGGTTAGACTGGTTAGACCATAGCTCATATGAGCCATTGTCTAAACTCCTAGTATCCCCTTAATAACCCCTATAGTAGATCCCCTATATAATCCCCTATATATCCCTCCTTTAAGGAGTTTAGACTATAGCTCATATGGGATGCTCCTCCTCCTCCTCCCCCGCCGCCCTCAGCCCTTACTCCCAAAAAGGGCCCTATAAAGACTATAGTCCTTCTAAGAGGGGATTATATGGGTTTCCATGTTAGTTTGGGGGAGGGTATAGACCCTAAACCCTAAACCCTTAACCCTAAACCCCAACCCTAAACCCTTAACCCTAAACCCTTCTCAGCAGCCCAGCGCCCCAGGACTCAGCGCCTTCGCCTGCCACGTGTCCACGGACTCCCAAGGTTCCTGATTCTGGAATGCACCGCGCGCAGCGGACCTTGGAAAGCAAAAGGGGGCCTAAGCCTGGGGGTTTCGGGTGGAGTTTAGTTTAGGGTTTAGGGTTTACGGTTTAGGGTGGATGTTAGTTATCCCTGAACTCAAAACCCTCTTAGGGTTTGGCATGTATGTAAGGGTTCGGATTTAGAGGTGAAGACTTGGGGTATGGCCTGGAGTCGAGGCTTACCACACAGAGCTGCGAACTAAACAATTTGGCCAAATACCCTCCGCAGAGCCCAAAATACCACAGATAGCACCTGCATGGACCATCTTTTAAAGTTAATTCAGAGGCCTGGTATGTGGAGTTTAGCTTTCGTTGCAGGTGGGTATGGCGAAGTACCCGCGCAAGGCCCCCTAAGGCCCCTTCAATCCAAATCGGGGCCTCCCACGCTTTCACCTAGGGGATGTAGGGGCATGAAATGTAGTAGCCTCGATAAGTGCTAATATCAGTTCGAAGTATATGCGTTTGAGGTACTCTATGCCAGAACTGTACCAGGCCCGTAGGACCATGATATTAAAAATTGCTTAAGCCGTACAAGGCCTGTAGGACCATGATATTAAAAATTGCTCAAGCCCCTACAATATGGACTGAAAGGGTGGTTTCTTAAGAGTCTTCTCTGAAAATCTCAGGCCTCATCCTGAAACCCAGGCCAGACAGCCAAAGCGCCACTATCCCACGTTTAGGGTTTAGGGATTATTGCTGAGGGTTTAGGGTATATGGAGTGCAGGAGGGCAAGTTTTGGGTTTAGGGCTGAGAAGTTTAGGGCTTAGGTCAGGGTTTAGGGTTAAGGGCTGAGAAGTTAAAGTTTTAGGACAAGTTTTAGGGCAACCAACAACTAATCGAGCGATGGAAAACCTAAACTAACCCGAAACCAGAAATCTCCATGCTGGGGCTTTCAGAGATCAGGGGTCCTCTGGTGGAGTCCCTACATCAAGAAAAATGTGACAGGTGTTGAAACTGGGGCCCCTTCTTTTACATGAACCCACATATCTGCAATCTAAAGCCACGCAAACCTCGACGCCTAAGCCCTAAACACTAAACCCTATCTGTAGGCCCTAAACCTTAAACCCTAAACCCTACCAGCCTGAACCCGAACTAAACCCTGAACCTAAGACCCTAAACCCCAACTAGTAGTTTCCATTTTTCCACTATCCCAAAATAACCCCAATAAAAAAACACAATATGACCCCAATATGACCCCAATATAACCTCAATATAACCCCAATATAACCCCAATATAACCCCAGTATACCCCCAATATAACCCCAATATAACTCCAATATAACTCCAATATTACCCCAATATAACCCCAATATAACCTTAATATACCCTCAATATAACCCTTATATACCCCCAATATAACCCTAATATACCCCCAGTATACCCCCAATATAACCCCAATATAACTCCAATATAACTCCAATATTACCCCAATATAACCCCAATATAACCTTAATATACCCTCAATATAACTCTTATATACCCCCAATATAACCCTAATATACCCCCTAAACCCTAAACCCCAATATAACCCTTATATTGCCCAAGGGAGCACGTCTCCAACCGGCAAGCGGCGCAGAGGAGCCAGAGTCGGTGGTCCACACGCCCGGAGCCGGGTCTGGCCTCAGGGTTTACTTAGCCCACACTACCCAGGGTTTAGGGTTTAGGATCCTTTTTACATAAATAGAAGGAATCCCATACCCCAAAACGTATAAAAAGATCCCTGACATTGATCCAGTTAGGGTTGAGAGGCTTATCGTGGCTTGAGGATTTAAGATTTGGGGTTTAATTAGGGGTTAGGGGGTTAGGGTTTAGGTTGTGGGTTTAGGGTTTAGGGTTGAGAAGTTCTGGGTTTAGAGGCGTAGGGCTTAGACGTTTTGGGTTTCATTGTGTACGGGGGTTGTAGGTATGTATAGGGTTCGGGGATTAGAGTTTAGAGTCTGTGAGATCACTGCGTACGCGGCTTATAGGTATGTAGAAGGTCTAGGGTACAGACTTAGGGTTTGTGAAATACATACGGTACAATGGCGTTTCGGAAAGGGGTTATGCGGGTTTCGCAGAATTGGGGGGGGAAGAGGTGCTTTCTGGAGGGACTGAATACGTAGAAACTTCCTTCTAAGTATGTGAAGGGTGTACGCTTCAAGGCACAGAGCTTCGGCTTTTGCAGTTATCTTGGCATTTCGTCAAGTAGCGGCACCCTTAGAAAACTCCCAGATTTAGTCGTTCTGATAAATAGGCCCCAGGGGATGTTTAGAATTTCGGCATAAAGCGTAAGTTTGTAAATAGCCGGGCCCAGGGTGGAGGGGGTCTAACGGTCAAGGTATGGACGTGAACCACAATTACCCAAACCCTGGGTTTAGGGTATAGGGTTTAGGGTTTAGAGTTTAGGGTTTAGGGCATAGAGTTTAAGGAAGGACCTCAAGGCAGAAGTTAGGAGAAACAAAAAGGATTGCAACCCAAATCTGGCAAAATGATCTTGACATTGTTTCGGCCACGTTCATTACTACATAAAGACCACCAGAAAATGGGTGCCTCCTTCCCAGAATTTCTTAGGGTTAAAGGTTCAGGATTTCAGGCTTAGAGTTCAGGGCTTAGGACTTGTTCTTCAGGTACTGAAGCGACTGGAACCTTGAAGCAAAACGACTTCATCCCTTCAAAGCCTTGAAGCTTCAAACGCCAGACAAAAATGCACCCTGAACCATCAATCCCTATAGTCCCTCTTAAGTAGATAGAATATGGGGTATATGGGGATCTTTTTATAATATGCCTTAAAGTCGTATTCTATCTACTTAAGGGGAATATACTCCCTGAACCCTAAGCCCTAATCCGTTCACCCTTGAGCCTAACGCAAGAAGAGCCAGGCTACTGGTCCCAGCTCTTGCCGCCATTCGTCCAGCCATTGCCCGAACCTGTGAGGCCGGCTGCAGACTACAAGCCTGTTAAACGAGGGTCCCGTTTAGGGTTTAGGGTTCAGGGTTGAGCCTGGAGCATATAATATAGGATTTCGTGTTTGATTAGTTGTTCAAGGTTTTTGGTTTGAGTAGGGTGTAGCGTCGAGGGATTTGTGTGGCTTCTTGTAGTATAGCTCCTAATCCTGGGCCTCTGGTACAAGCTCCTACCCGTTTCCTGGGTCCTAACTATAGGCCCGTAATTGGATTCGTACGGTTGTCGCATGGTATGTAAAAAAACAGGCGCCAACCTTAGACAGATACAGGCATCCGTACTGTCTAGGGGCTTTGAGGAAAGGAGATTCGAATGGAAAAACAAATGGACCATGACATAGAAACTGAGATGATACAAGGGTTCGTAGGTATACGAGACGTGGACCGAGGTATAGTACGGAACATCGTGCGACGTGTACTGGTAGACCTGGTCATAACTTTTTGTTTCCCTACCTAGACCTAAGCAATTAGCACAGGGGTTTGCTATAAGTTATATTGCAGTATAGAGGGAAAACAATGAAGTCTTAGTCTTTAGGGTTTAGGGCTTGGAGAGTTTGGGGGCTCAGGGTCTAGGCTTTGGGTTTTAGGGTTTCTGACCTGCAAGCCTGACCATCGCAAAGATAATTGATGATAAAGGCTTAAATTTAGCCTGTTAGGAGTTTTTCTCAGGGACCCCGACAAGGGACCCCAAATGTTGGAAACTCACATGCTGCAGGCACAGTAAGAGAATTAAAGCAGCAATCCTGCTGGCTTGCCGTATAAGTACTTCTCAGGGTTTAGGTTTTAGGGTTCAGGGTTTAGGGTCAGAATCCTCACAAGACACACCTAGATTCTCATCATCAGCCCCCTATTCTGAAGGTCCACAAAAGGTGCGCCTAGCTAAGCCTTCGGCGGAATCCTAAAACTTATTATTTAAGCCGCAAAGCCCTCTTGAGAACCACACCGTCGCACCCTGTCCAGATGGGTACCCTATGGTACCCTAGTCTAACAAACTTACCACGACTAGTCTTTGACAGCCGACGTGCCTGCAAACCTTGGAAAACGTAAGCGAACATGTTTGACAAATTAGGTTTGAGAGTTTGATATGAGGAAGGAGAACTACACCAACGCCAAATTACTTAGGTGCAAGCTCACTCCTGCTTGGAAAGCTCAATACCCAAGACCTGAATTCAAAGTTCATAGTGCTGATGAAAGCCTTACAAGAGAAACCACACCCCACACCCCACACAAAAAAACTGCATCGGGCTTGTGGTGAATCCTTTGAAGGGGAGCCCTTATCAACCCAGGGTGCAACCATCAAGCCCAACCCCAAGCTTCCAACTGCCTCCCCAGCTGTCATTTCCAGGATGAAACTCCTCCCAGGGCACGTCACAAACATGTCTTCGCCACAGCTTCGGGAAGAGGGAGACGCAGATCCCGTGGCTAAGGCCCAGAACTTCTCTCAAAGTAGCGCGGTTTTTTTGCTGGAATTGTTTCGGGGTTTGCGCTGCAGAGATTTAAGAGATGTTCATGGTGATGCAACCATCAGTCTAGTGTAGAACTGCAGTCACCATCACTACCATAAGCCATCACAACCCTAAACACCTAAACCCTAAACCCTAAATACCCTACAAGGGGCGTTGTGCAGCATCGCAGGGATGCAGAGCACCCCATTTGCGACAGGGCCATAGCCATGACGGCTCTTCAGGTTGGTGAACATTATCATTATCTCTTAGATGGACCCCCCCCCCCCCAGCAATAGTGGCTACAAGGGATAATCAGAATTACATTAGGTTCTATTTTATCCCTAATATACCACTATTACAGGGTGGGGGGTCTTCCTAAATTATCTCCGTATCCGCTCCCACTGCCGCCGGGGCATCCTGAACCACGGATGGAATGAGTGTAGGGGATGATGACTACTTATGACTTGTTCCATAGGGCTCCCAGTTACCTAGATAATGGGAACTGGGTTCTATATACCCTATAGTTACATAGCCCAGTAGCCTAGTATTTAGGTAACTGGGAGCCCTAGTGCTTTGTAAGCTTGAGTCTTTGAACAGGCGAGGGCCGCGAGGGAGGGGCTTGATGATTTGAAGGCCTGCAGCAATCCGAATCCCTAAACCCTAAACCCTAAACCCCAAACCCTAAACCCTAAACCCTCAACTCTAAGAGAGCGAGCAGCTTTCCCGCACATGTCCCGTTGATCTGTTTCGCTCTAAGGTTGAAACCATGCACCCCTAGTATGGGCCCTTAACGCTCCCTAGAATCTCCCTAGAAGGCCTTTGGGGCCATATTAGGGGCCCATACTTCTTACCTTAGGTTCGCGGAACCTACATGAAGCTCTATGGGTTTAGGGTTGTTGGGTTTAGGTGTTAGGAGTTAGAGCTTCGGGTTCAGGATGGGTGAAACCTAGTAGCCACCCCATAGCTAGAATTGGGGTAACCTGTCTAAGGCTCGACAAGAGATTATAAGTAAGGTTATAAGCCCATTAATAACTCAAGTCATTACTACGTCCCAGAACCTGCTACAAGTAGTACTTACCTGAGCCCCCAAATCATGCAGAATAGCAGCCTCTTGGGCTGTTTCAAAAGTTTTGGGCCATGATTTTGCCTATTTTGGTGGGCTTGGCTAGCAATGGTAGTAACAATGCTTGTGGCTCAAGTTATGGGTTCTACCTACCACAGGACAACCTGCACCCCAAAAGTAGGTAAAACAATCGCCCACAAACCCCTAAACATAGCCCAGAAGGCCATTGGAGGTTTCCCTAAATTACTGTTCCCAAAATGGAGAAATTTATATATGGACCCGTATTATAATAGGAACCCAAAGATACGACCCCGTATTGACAGTAATTTAGGACAATCCCCCATTATTTTACATACTTTTGGGGTTCAGGTACGTGAGAGTCGAACGACGGGACCCTGACTTGCACCCCTTCGGGTCAGAGTCCGCACCCCAGATTCAAGCTCTCTCTGAGTTTAGGGTTTAGGGTTGCGGTTTAGGGTTTAGGTTTTAGTTTTAGGGCTTAGGGTGTAATGGTTCTTTGAGAGGAGCTTGAATCATAAATGGGGAATATGAAGAGGGGTAATGCTGGGCGCCTTTCAGAATGCAGGCCCTGAAGCCCTACCGCTTACACTCCTAAACCGCAAAAACTAAACCCAAACCACGAAACCCCTCAACCCCTCAATCCTAGACCTCCCAAACTCTGAAACTGAGACACCTCGGCTGCATACCGCATGCCGGCAGCGGACTCTTCGCCTCGATAGCATGGCCAATAGGCTCTTGGCCAGCGGGTCTGGTTTAGGGTTTAGGGCTTAGGGTTTAGGATTTGTAAGCTTACACAAGGTTTAGGATTTTTTGTGCTTCGGGTGAGGGCCAATCCCCTACCAGCAATGGGTACCACAAGGGGACTGCTGCAAGTATGTTAAGGCCCCAGGAACTTTTGCGTAGGGGGGATTGCCTAACCTAACCCTAAACCCTAACCCTGTTGCCTAACCCTAAACCCCATAAACCCTGGTATTGCGGCCTTTAGGTCTACCCCTACTTTCGTGGACTGCTATCTGGGCCGCTGTCAAGGCATTTGAATTAAGTTGCGATAAGCTGGAAATGCCATGAATAACATAGCTTCCTGAACATGGTGAATTGAATTTCCTAAACCCCAAACCCAGTAGTTTCGTTCGAGCTTCTTTTCCATTATCCCCATATTTCCCCAATATTTCAACAAACAACAACTAGAGTAGGGTCCCCCAAAGCCCAAAGGGAACGATTTGCGGGTTCAAGGTTTAGAATCATGGTCTAAGAGCTTGTGGACACTTCGCGGTCTTGGGTTTAGAGTGAAAATTTCCGTAAACCGGGGACACCGATGTACCGATTTAGACCAGACATGCCAATCCCATTTATCGGCCCTGGACCGTAAATCCCAAACCCTAAACCCTAAGCCCCAAACCCGAAGCCCCAAACCCTAACCCCGCACCTAAACCCCAAAACTTACATAGATACTTCGTCATCCGCAGGGCTAGGAAGTACCCGCAGGAAGGTCTAATCTCCAGCTACTCGGTTTAGGGTTCGTGACTTCTTACCAGCGGAACAATGCTTATTTGCTGGCCGAACCAAATTCCACTCTTCGTATGAAATACAGTAGCCGTACAGTAGCCGTCAGGAGGACATAACCCTGGTCTGATACTGTAGCGTAGCATCCCAAAGTAAAAAGCTGCTCAATCAGGTTTAGGCTTTAGCGTTTATGCCGCATTATCTCGTTGAGGGGTTTCCCCAATAAGGGCGCACGAGCCTGTGCTCTTCCAATCCATTCTTGCTAAGAGGTAATAATAGGCGCGGACCCGAAACACTGAGCCCTAAACCCTAAACCCTAAACCCTAAGGCCTAAACCCTCAGCCCCAAACCCTAAGTTCCAAACATAGCGCCTTTTCAACCCCACTCTAAACCCTAAGCCCTAAACCATAGGCCCGAAGCCCTAAGCACTAAAACCCTAAGCCCTAAACCCTAAATTCTTAACCCTAAATCCTTAAACCCTAAACCCCCAAACCCTAAACCCCTAAACTCCTAAACCCTAAAACCCCTAAACCCTAAACCCCCTAAACCCCCCTACTCACCAGCCGGGAGGCGTCCGTGGTCAGCCTGTTGCCATGCTGCAAAGCCTGAGCAAAGCTTTAGGGTTTAGGGTTTAGGGTTTAGAGTTTGGGGTGTAGGGTATAGGGTTTAGGGTTTAGGGTATAGGGTTTAGGGTTTAGGGTTTAGGTTTTAGTTGTTTCTTCCATAAAATTGTTACCCTAAACCCTATATAGTCCCCCTTAAGGGGTATATGGGATCTTGTTATGATGTACCCAAAGCCATATTCTATCTACTTAAGGGGGACTGTAGACCCAGTTGTTTGAGGATGGGGGTTATGGGTTTGTAGGGTTTAGAAATGCAGGAAGGCATTTTAATGGTTCAGGGCTTACAGTATATGGCTTGCAGTTCAGGATTTCGGGGGGGGAGGGGGGGGGGGACTGGTTTAACCAAGGGCGTTTAGGGCTTAGGGTTTAGGGTAAGCCCAAGTTGGCCAGGATCTTAGCAAAAGCTTTAACTGGTGGTGCAGTGCAGTTCTCTGGGCGTGAGCCCGTCTAAGCCTCTACTGCTCCAACCCTTACCGAACCCTACACCCTGGGCCCAGCGACCCCTACCTTCCATGAAGCTCAGATGGAGACCCATATGCGCTATGTTCTAAAGGGGGTTATATGGGAGACTATATAGGGGAGCATGATAGGGGCAATTAAGGGAGATACCAGGAGTGTAGACTCTGAACGGGCAGTAGTCTTTGTGGAGTTGCTTCTTGGGCGTCCATGTTAGTTCTGGTCGAGGGTGAAGCCTAAAGTATACAAAATCTAATGCCCTGTATGGAGGGCTGTCAAAATTATACTACTTTTTCATTTGCTTCAAATACTGCCGCCCCAAGCCATGGTGTACCCCAAATGCGATCATACTTTTGAGAACCGACCATGTGCACCTTTACTTTTCAGATCTATAGGGTTTAAGGCCCAAAAAGACGGCAGATAGGAAGCCTCCATTTCCACCTTCTTCCTGTGCCAGCCAGGCATTCGACGACTCTGCAGTACCTGCTCGCATCATTCCATGTAGGGCTTCAGGGCATTGCTCAATACAATGATTAGAAAGTCATGTCATACTTTGGGGGTCCTGAATTTGGGGATGGGGTACCCAACGTCGTCTTACCAATATTTGAGTTTCGGGCTTATGGCTCAGAGGCCCTTCGGCAATAGGGTCTGGGGTACAGCCTAAACCTTCTTGCTCACGCTGCTTGGTCTCAGGCTAAGCGTTGCCCAAGAAAAGATCGACGAGGCCCTAGGGGCGAGGAAAAGACTACTGAAGCCAATTAAAGCCAGTGCTGTTTTTTTTTTTTTGTTTGTTGTTGTTGTGGTTGTTTTCCTACGTGCGGTGCCCAGCAGGCCAAGTAATGGAAAAACATGTGCAATGACATGTTCATGACATAATCGATGACCTTTGCAATGGCATATTTGGCGCAATTCTTATTGATGTGGAAGCTATGCTGTCAAAGAGGCTTCTGGGCTTTCCCCAATATATACCCTATTACAATTTTCTTCTCCATTATGCCAATTTCCAGAGTCAAGAGGTAATTGAGCCTAGCCCTTTGTTTAAAGCCCAGAGCCCAGGCCCTTTAAATCGAATAGTTTTTTTGGTTTCACAACTAACCCGGCCAAAAAACCTTTACAGCCTTTACACTATTGAGCCCCTGCAAATCATTTATGTTATTGAGGGTCAGGGGCTCTGCCGGACTACCCCCTTCGGAATCTGATCGCCTAGCCTGTTAGAATAAGTGGTTCAATAACAAATCTTGTTTTTTTGGTGGCATGAAATTCCAGATTCCAGAGGTAATAGAACCAGTCCTTTTCATGTAAAAGCCTGGCTTCAACCTGATCAAAACTTTCTCCTAGATTTTTCTGGCAGAAAAAAGCCTTCATCCAGGCCCCCCAAACACAATACTGAGCCCAGAAGATTTGTCTAACAACTTTATTTCATAGGGGAACCCTGCGCTAATCGGGATTCAACATTAAACCCCTAAACTGTAAACCCTAAACCTTTTGATATGTCAGTGTGTGGTAGTCGGGAAAGAAGAACCCCTGCGTGACTGAGTGGGCCCAAAACATGGAAGGCAACAAGGTGAAGAATGAAAGCCGGCACTCTACCTGGACCCATACCCTACCCAGTTTTAGGGGAGGTCACTTTGTATCTAGAAGATACTAGACCATAAACTTGCGTATCCGAAGCAACAGGTAGGGTATAGAACCCTAAACCCTAAACCTAGTGGCCCCCTAGGATGCCGCGCATGCTCTACAGCCCAAGCCCCATGAGTCCCTCGAAGAGATCTGCAAGCCCTAAACCCTAAACCGTATATCCTAAACCCTAAACCCCAAACTCTAAACCCTCAATCCCAACTGTCAACCCTGAACAGCAAACTTTAAATACTCAACCCTAAACCCTGCGTAAGCTCTAAATCCTAAACCCTAAGCCCTGAAACCCAAGTGCATAGCCTGCATCTTGGTCGTCTTTCCCCACGGTCTCAGCCCGGGGCGGCTGCGAAGTGCCTTTGGATACTTTATCCCTATTATACAGCTTTAGGGTTTAGGGTTTAGGGCTTGGGGGTTATCCCTATTATACAGCACTTGGTTGAGGGGTTTAGGGTTTAAAGGTTTAGGGCTTAGGGGTTTAGGGCTTAGAGGTCTGGGGTTTAGAGCTTGCAAACGAATCTTGTCTACAGCTCCATGAGGAAACCAACACACCCGACGTGTCTAGATAATCTACAGCCAATATTTCATACATAGTTTAGTGGACATGGGTTCCTTATTGGGGACTATATGAGGCACCTTTACTAAACTACAAGAGGGACCCGCTTACAAAGCTTCAGGCTTGTCGACACCGAAAAATCGTTCGGGTTCTGGGCCTGTGCGGTCCAGGGTTTAACTGGGTTCCCCAATAACCCATTAAGAATAAAAGTACCCATTTTCCTACTGTTTAGCTTGAATAGGGAGACCTATAATAAAAGCGGCAAAGGGGTACTACCGGGGTACCTAGTTAGGTCTAGGCGGATTTCGTGGCCAGGGCTAAAATTTAAGGCTGCGGATGGAGACGGACTTCCTGTACCACCTCCTCAGGGTTTAGGGGGTTTCGGGTTTAGGTTTTGGGGTTTAGGGTTTGGGTTTTGGGGTTTAGGGTTTAATTAGGGGTTTAGGGTACCCTGGGGCTTACAGTATTCAAGGGACCTTATGCAACGGAGTTGAGGTGGAAGCTATAAACAAGACCCTAACCCCCAGACCCTAGAGCTCAGTTGGGAATCTGGAACACCTTGGGTTTAGGGTTTAGGGTTTAGGGTGGCGAATAAGATGGTGATGACTTGGAGCCAGCTGGGTTTTCGTAAATTCAGGGCTACATGAACAGCGACTTCTGGCGGTTGAGCCTAGCAAGGTTGGTACACCGCCATGCCTCAAAGTAGGTTATGCCATCGTACCCTTTCTTGGGGATGATAGAATCCAACGTGAACCCTAAACCCTACACGGTACATCGTAATTTCCAATTTCTTTTCCATTATCCCTATAGAACCCCTTATATAGCCCCTACATAGAATCCCTATATAACCCCACACCACTACCTAAATGGGCTTCAGGGTCCAGGGGATGGGTCCTAAGATCCGAAGCTCTGAGCCCTTTAAACAGAGCTTGGGTAGGACCATGACGCTGTTGGTGGACTATCTATAATCCCCCCTTAAGTAGATAGAATATGGCTTTGGGTAAATTATAATAAGATCTCCAAAAACTCCATATTCTATCTATTAAGGGGGGCTAGATGGTTTAGGGTTTAAGGCTAGAGGCTGGAGCTTCATTCGAGTTAAGGATTTAGGGATTAGGGTTTAAGTTTCGCAGAAGCCAAAGTCGATACTCTGTGTTATGTGAGTAGCGTTTTTTTGGGTGGTCAAACCTAGTAAGATAATGTTCCTTATATAAAATACTATACCCCAAAAGGAGGAGATAATCTTACTCTATATTGGGTACCATAATAATATCCCCAAATAAAATACTACTCAAATAACCCCTATATAATCCTAGTTTCCATTTCCTTTTCCATTTGATTCTCCATTATAGGGCCCTAAACCCTATATTATTGGGTACCATAGTATCCCCAATCAGTGTTTTTGACCAGGAGTTGGGAGCTTCGCCTAATTCACGTGGTTTAGTTTAGTGCTTAGGTTTCACCATGGTAGCAATAAGTACTTGATGGACGGGCTTCAAGGAGGATCACATGACGGCCTTATTAGCCATCGACTCATCCCATGATCTCCGATTCTACGTTTTTGAAACAGCTAGCAAGTGAAGGGCTGAGGTAGATTCCACATCCCAAGGTCCCTCGGCCACAAAGTCGAGACGCAGAAGGAGTTGATGGAGGAATTCTTCACCACTCTAGGTTCACCATCTCCTAGGAATCACAGGAGTTTAAGCGCTGTAGGTGGCGTCTGATTTCCTCCATGAACCCCCCATGCCTCATATAATTCGCAAGTCCTGCTTTGCCAGCAGAAGGAAACTTTCTGAAGCTCAGTAGATTATTGGGTGCCTGGTCGTACAGCAAGAAAGTACTGTCAGCGCACAGGTATACCCTAAACCCTAAACCATTAAAAATAACCTAAAGCCTTAAACCCTGAAAACGTAATACCTTGAACCCTAAGACGGAATCCATGGGGCGCTGTTGAAACAAACCCAGTTTGCAATGGCAAGCCCTAAGCTGAGCTTCAAAACATGTACATGATCCCCTCCCCCCTATATTTAAAAACCCTGCAGCCCTTATTTCCAACATATATCCAATACTGCAATAGGAATATCCTATGTGAAGAGATTGGTGAGGTGGATATTTAGCGGGAATTGTTTTAAACGCCATAACGCTGTACCCTAAACCCTACAGCCAAAAATCCTAAAACATACACTCTAAACCCCAAATCCGAAATCCTAAATCCTAAACTCTGAACCCGAAACCCTAAACCCCCAATCCTGAACCCTACATCCTGAACCCCAAATCCGAAACCCTAAGCCCTGAACCCTAAACCCCAAAGTCCTAAACCTAAACTCCAAGCCCGAAACCATAAACTCCAAACCCGAAACCATAAACTCTAAACTCCAAATCTTAAACCCTAAGCCCTACCTGTAACCCCAATAACCTACAGTTTTAAGGATTATACCTACTAATTATGGGGTACTTACTACTAAACTGTAGGTTAGTTATTGGAGTCACAGGTATTCAAAAGGCCTTCGCTTCTCTCGTCCCTTTCTGCCGGATTGGCTTGTGCCGGCGGCGAAGTACCTCTCAAGATGGATTGCCAGAGTCCTATAAAGCCCGGTTTGGGGTTTAGGGATGGGGAATTTTGAGTTTAGCATCTTCAGGTATGTGAGAATGATTTGTAGGCCTTTTTTTCACACCTAACAACCCCACAGAGAACCTCTTGCGTAAGAAGCGCCAGAAGAAAAGCAACTTGAAACCATACAAACCTTATGTAGATCATCTGGGAACTGTATATAAGCAAAAAATTGAGCGCTGGAGCCATTATAGTCAGGTATGTCTACGTTGAGCCGCCCTTCTTGACTTTCCAGCTTGCTCGTGTTGGGCAGCTGCTCTTGATTAAGCTGCAAACTCTTTCCTGGTGCTCAACTCAAGAAAACCAATGCTCGGCCATGACCCTACTGATTATGCTGACAGCAACTTGCAAAGCAAGAAGAGCTCATTGTTCTGACATCTTGCCAAGGGGCCTTCCCTGCAAA